ATTGTGCTGTTCAATGGAGGGAACGAAGAAATGTTTCTACAAGCAAAAGACTACTGCTTACTATCACCTCTTCTTACTCCACACAGTGCTACCACATGAAAGTATAGGAAGATGACAAAACTGAGCTAAAATGGAGCCAACCCAAATCTGTTCCTTTCTGATCCATTAATTTTTTCTCTTTATTTGCTATTCTTTCCTTCTGCAACCAGTTTTCCTACTGCATGTTGGCTTTATCTCTTTTTTTCCCCATCTCCTTGAAGTTAATCTCATAACACTTTCCTTTACCCAGTGGTTTTATTCCTGCTGTTTGAGTTTGCATTATATATTTGGGCTGCATTTTCATAGGTATAGAAACATTTCACCAGCAGGAAGGTATTTACAAAGTTCATTTTTTTGGATTTTTTAATGTCCATGTGGTATAATAGGAACATGTTTTTTAAACATCTTGTCTTCTCTGAAATCTGCTGTGGATTTCAGCCAGTTTCTGCAGAACCAGTACGTGATGTGAATTTTTCCAGGGCCCTGGATTTGAGCTGCTCTGCTATGCCAAACACCATTCCACTGCACTGCTGGCCAAGAGCTTCCAGTACCCAGCCTGGCCTGCTCCTCTCCTTGATGTTGCAGAGTCTTGAGAACTCAAGTGAAAAAAGTTTCTAGATTTTCTTTGCTGTGCAGTCAGAGGGCTGACAGCCATAACCAAAGCCATCAGTTTCTCAAGTTTGTGGGCCTTCTAGTTTTTGGAAAAGTACTTTTTTTTTAATTTGGGGGATTTTCTACAAAATTAGGTTTTTAGGGTTTAGTTGGCTTCATGCTCAACTCACCTTGGAGTCCTTAAGAAAAATCTGGTTAAGTTTGACACAGACATATTCTACCTGCCTGTGGATGTTTCTATATTTTATATTATGGTACTTCTATTAATTTATATGCAAATACCGTTTCTGCCATTTATAGAGCTTTAGGACCATGGAACACAGACTCTGTAGTGTTTTCGCTATTGCATTGTCAAAATAAAGCTAGAATAGATGTGTTTTTTTCAGAAATTCAGAGCCAATTCTTCTTCTTTGCTTAAAATGCCAATTGTAAAATATAACTATCAAGAATATCACAGTAAGTATATATTTAAAGTAGTGATAAAAATTACTAGTAATTAATGGTAGTTATTCCTCTTTTTACAGGAAATGTCATCCTACTATTCTATATACTGCCCAATTTTACATCACCCTAGAAAGAGCCTACATTGAAATAAATATAATATTTGCCTCCGAATAGCTCATCAATTTGGATGGAGAATTCACCTGAATTAAGTCAGGTGAATAATTAATTTTCCCTTTAAGTAACTTAGGTTCCCTGGTATATATGTGATGATATTTTTGGGTAAAGTGCAGGTATTTTCTCTGCTTCACAAATTGCTGAAAGATTGAAAACATCTTTCATCTTTTTGTTGATTTAGTCGCTGATCTGACAAATCTGATTATTTTACTCTTCGGTAAAATTTTTGGGTTTAGAAGTAAAACTTCCATTTTTGTTCAGTTAATAACATTTCATTCATTTTTGCACCTCCTTACTTCAGAGATAAATTTTTTAATGCTGCGAATTTCTTTTTAATCTTTTATTGTAAAGTATGATCAAAACATTTCCCAAATTGAGATCTTGTAATGCATTTGCTGTATCCATATAGAGTAAAACTGTTGCAAACTGTTCCTCTACAGGAAACCAAATACCATTTTGATTGGTTTTACTTAACTACTACTGTTAAGCTGCATGTAACTTCACTACAATATTTATAATTATTGATTAGAATATCATTGTCCTGTAAATACAGGAAAAACAATTGAGTCTGAATCTTAACTTTCCCTAACTTTTCTTCTAAATTTCCCAATCATTACCTTCAATTTTCTCAATTCTTTATTTATTAAAAGAAAATTATATTGAATGTCTCTACTGTGTCTCTATGTACAGTGGTGTGGCTGAAGCGTATTGATAAAGCCAAAGTGAATTTCAAAGATCATACAGCTCTTTTTGCTGCTGCTGGTGCTAAAGAAGACTACTGAGCCAAACATTTATTCGTTTGTTTATTTAATTAAAAACTTGGTTAGTTGGCCTGTTAAAATAAATTATCTGTGCTATAAACCTGCCCTGTTAATTTTTGAAAATTAGTTGGAGCTAAAAAATTTTGCTCTTAAAGGGTTACAGTCACAAAAGTCTTAGTGAATACTTTTGAAAACTCCATTCAATGTATGTTCAAAAGCACTGTTTAGAAAAGATTTGGGGACGTATTTTCTTACCTTTCTTCATCCTTATTCCATTGCTGTCCTGTGGAGCACTGCCTTTGAGAAAAGTGGTTGTTGCTCATCACATTCCTAATCTTTTCATTGCAATGTGAGCTGAAACATAAAGCAGCTTACAGAAGTCAGTATCCAGTACAAGAAAAATGATTTATAGAACAGAGGATTTTGGAGTTGGACTTATAAGACAGTGCTGTCTGTTTTACAGAAAAGTGAGCCATTTTGTTCATTTTCCCAGTTTAGGTTAAAGAAAAACCATGAAAAACAGACATCTAGCAATAATAGTTAAGCAAGCTAATGAAATTAATAATCTGAAAAACTTGTTTAATTTATATAGGTATTTCCACCTTTTTCTGAAAAAAATAATTCTGCAATTTCAATATATATTTTTTTTAGCCCTGTTAAAAAGAAAATCTGTTAGAGATGTGGGTCTAAATTATGCTTTTAAATCTATTGGCCAGAAAATGAGATTTTGAAACGGTAGTGCATAATTTCCAAGCTCCTGTAAATTGATTTTTCAGCCTTATAAGTATGGATTTGGGCCTGATATTTGCATTATCCACAAAGCATGTATTACTGTACCTCATTTGTTTAAGTGAAGGCTGTGTTTAAAAGGTATTGTTCTGCTGAAGACTAAATGGAATGTATTTTACTAATCTGGGAAATTAATAAGATACTGCTTTATTCTCTATCAGCTATGTTTATGCATTCAACAGAGGTCACTAGATCATATACCAGTAGGAACCCCCAAAATACCAGATACCTGCTGGTTTCAGTCTTTCTTTTAAGTCTTTCTGACAAAGGACTGGGAAAACACAAGTCAGGGCACAGGTTTGGTGAGCTACAGAAAAAATCTTTGATTTTGAGAATCATATTTCATCAATAATTTAATCAAACTATATAGAAAATACCATGTCCACCTATATTCAGCTTCCTTTGACTCTAATATTTCTAATTAGAAAAAAAAACTAAACAAGACCTAAAAAAACCCAACCGGTAAACCTATACATCAACAGAGTTTTGATAAGGTTATGCCAAGCAACACAAAATTAAGACATGCCCAAATGCAATTTGTTCTTGAAATATGTAGCACTACCTTACATGCTCACTAAAATATATATTTTTAAAGGAATAAAATTTTTTATTCGCTCCATGAACTTTGGTGATTCCTAGAACAAGACTAAGAAAAACAGGCATCTTCTCAATAGGATTTTTTGTCCTTGTTCAGGACAAGGACAAACAATTTGCTTTGTTGTTTATTGTTTTTTCAGAAGACAGAACTGTTCATTTCCTTATACCCCTCAAATATATGTGTTTAATAGACACTAATTATCATCTCTTACAAGCTCATCTGAGGAGTGCCATCATCATCATTTAGTACATCAATAACTGCAGCACAGAAAAATTAAGATGAATGTAACCATTAGTATATGTTATAATTTTTTGAGTCCACCAAGGAAGAGATTCTTTTCATCTTCTTTACATCTACTTAGATCTACTGTGCATGGTACAAAATAATTATTCCTCTAAGATATATTTTTGGAATAAGTAGTATCTGGGCATGTAAATAGCCATTGCTATAACTGTATACAAAGAACCAACTTAAATTTTCTCTTTTTCAATATTTTGATGACTATAGTTTGCAATGATATTCCATATTCTTTGAGTTTTTTGTTCCACTATAGGTATTTATTGTAGGGGTTTATATTTTTTATTCAGATGCCAACTGTGTAGATAATGCTACTGAATATTTTTTCTCTGTAGCAAAAGTATCTTTGTAACGAGGATGCACAGAAGATTTTATTTTCATAGGCTCTCTAGTAATGTGTCACCTCTCCTATGTTCTTTATGACTACTCCATTCATTGTCAAAATAAATTTATTTCTATTGAAAATTAGCTATGAAGAGCTGTGAAATTTCCCCTGAAAATGTTGAGATTAACATTTGCCATCACTGCATGAATGGATTGTAAATGGACAATGCCAGAAAAAATATTCTATTATATTAACTAATAGGGTTTTTTATTTTTCAGCTTCATGTTGTGAAATATTTTACCAGTAGGTACAGAACTACAAATCGAGACTAAAATATTAATTAATTGATTTTCAAACTCCCTTGAATGCTCTTGTGTCCTTTCCTGACCTTCACAGTTTTATTAACCAAAAACGTGCAGTGCTGTGGGAGACAGCTATGGTTAGGAAAGAAATTAGACACTCACTTTTTAGCATCAAAAGTAAAGGAGGATTTTTTAAGTTCTAAGAAATTTTGGAAGTTGCAGTTGTAGGCAAGTTGTTTCAATGTTCATATTTGCAGAAGGATGACTGGTCTGTATGATCTTACTGGTGGAGGGTGGGTAGCTTCTTCCCCAGACCAACCACTCTGGTTGGTGGTTTATTAACATATTAATAACTGAGTAAAAGATTAGTGATGCAAAATGGATTACCCTCTTATCTAGAAGTAGGCATTCCATGATTTCAACATATCTGTGGTGGATGAAGAAGTCTCAGTGCTACTGTTTTAGTACTCTTGTTCAACTTGGTAAATCAACTGTTCATTTATTCACTATCCAAGAAACATTTAAAACAAACTTCAATGTATCCTAGACATTCAGAGGACTTCACTACCTAATGTTTTCCTTCAGAAAAAAAATCTTTACAGCATGTGAGATAGATTTAATACCATAATTTCCTCTTTTTTTCTTCTTCTTTCCCTTAGGCATTTCCTGGGAATACAAACTCTGACAATGTGGTCCGGCATGATTTACAACATCCCGTTATTGCGCGCTATGTGAGGATAGTTCCTTTGGACTGGAATGGAGAGGGACAAATTGGGTTAAGAATTGAAGTCTATGGCTGCTCCTACTGTAAGTTTTTCTATGATGACCCATTTTTTTCCCCATAAATAAAAACTGGTTTTGGATCTCAGATTAGAGCTGAATCTCAAACACTTTTAGCTTAGACAGGTTAAAATGCAATTGCTGGTTGTATTACCCAGGGCTTCATGAAATTTTTGTTCGAACCTTAAGTCTGAATTACTAGTTTGTTCTTCTCTGGAAGATGCAACCTTGGAATTCATGATAGTTCTTTGAAGTTGCTTCTTTTTATCTTCATGATTTCTTTAGCAGCAGGCTTTGACTGTTGTAAAAGCTTGAATGGGGCAGTTAAGGAAAATATAGTATTGAAACAAATGCCATGTTGGGTCCTGACGGAAAAAATGGAAACAAGACACCATTTATTGCCTGGTGCTAGAGATAAAATTAAAGGTATAAATAAGAATTCTATCACAGTATCTCAGATTGTCGAAATATGTGATGTGTTTTTCAGAGGTATTTCCTTGAGTATTTGAACGTGACTTTAGAATTTCGTTTGAAATCTGGATAAGCAATGGTACAAATGCTTCTGTAGCTAAGAGTAGAACTGATAATGTTTTATGAAAAGCAAGGGTAGCTTTTAAATACCCTTCCTTCAGTTAAATCTAGTCAGTGCTTAAAGAAAATCCGGAAACCTGCAGAATATGGAGTGTATGATGTTCTATTTCTAAGTATCTATTTTTATCCTGGCTTTACTAGTATTTTATCTGGAAAATGCTATGTGAAATTTGTCTTTTAATAACCAGGTATTAGCATAAAATGAGGAACACACATCTAGAAGTCTCATCCATTGACTTCCCTGGGTTACCTAAGACATATGGGAGCCCTTTGATATTCTAGCAAAAAAGAAAAACTGATTTCACTTGTTGTTTTGATTTGATTAGATAGTCAAAAGACTATGTACTTTCATTCAACAAGAACCATTTTTGGTTTATTTTTCTTATTTCCATATAATGAATTAAAGCCCTGTTATAAAAATGTATATTAAATCATAGAGAGTTTCACAGCAGCTGCAGGAACTTAAGTGAGAAATCAAACTTTGTGATGTTGGTGCTGCTGTGCTGAGGGTGTGCATGGATGAATATATTTGTAAAACAACAAGAGGAGAACCTGTTGCAATAAGAAAAAGGACAGTGGTTTTAAACTAATAGAGGGTTAGTTTAGATTAGGTAAGAAGGACATTTTTTACAATGAGGGTAGTAAAACACTGGAACAAGTTACCCAGAGAGGTAGTGGATGCTCCTTCCCTGGAAACATTCAAGGTCAGGTTGGATGGAGCTCTAAGCAACCCAATCTAGTTGAAGATGTCCCTAGTCATTGCAGAGGGAATAGACTAGATGACCTTTAAAGGTTCCTTCAACCCATACTATCCTATAAATCTATGATTCTACAACACCTGAGGAATTGTGGGTTACTCCAGAGTTAACTCTTACTCAAAGAGAAACTGAGCTTCTGAAGTTTGAAGTACAACTGATTATTCAGTACACAGCTCTTAATAAACAGGTGTTTACCATTGTACTGCTAAAATGATTTATGTGCTGTTTTAAGTATATCAAACACTATAGCATGGTTAATTTGCCAGCATAATAATTGTTTATTTTTAAGTATACCTCCTTACTTGTACATTAAATGCAAATTCAGGTGTTTGATATAAGATACCAGCATCTAGTTTTCTTTCAAATCTAACTCTCTTTGACAGAAAAACAGTAGCAGAATCAAACAATAAACATCATGTTATTTGCTGCAATATTTACAGGTATTTTTTTTAAATTAAATGGATAGACAAATATTGTAGGTACATAACAAGATGTTTTTAGGGGCTAAAAGTGAATGCGAGAAAAAGTAAAACACAGCTTGATGACAAAACTATTTTAGTTCTTTGATGATAAGTTGTTTGCTTTATGAACTTTTAGTGGAGAATAAAAGGCATCTGCCAAGGACACAATGTATAGAACTATAAAAGTACTGATAAAATGTGTCTTCACAGAAGAACTAAGGTTACTCAATGTAATTTTGTAATTTTGCTGAACGAGTATTGATGGTTTATTCATATTAGAAGGTATTTCAATAATTGTTGGTGGGTTTTTTTAATATAAGATTAATTATAATATATTACAGTTTTATGTGTATAGGGAATTTTCCTTTAACAACCCTCCTAAAATGCTCTGTGGTCCAAAAATGCAGAATTGGGCTGCTCCCAAAATGGTATCAGTAGAGAACAGTAGAACAGTTCAGAAGAAAAACTACAAAATCACTCTGTAAAAAGGTGAATAATTTACAGCCAGGTGTATAATGCCACACTTTCCATGTAGATGACAGAAGCCAAGTTTTTAACCTTATGATTAGAAGTGCATATATTTGCATATACATATAAGCACTGTCATTAAACAGTGTGATTTGCAGATTAATTCTGCTGTCATTTAAGGAGCTGGCCATTTAGATAATCACCAGTTTTAAAAGCCTGATTAAAAGACAGGCTTCTAGTCAAATCTGCACCAAATTTTGGAACTACTACCTAAATAAAAATCTTTTCAATATATTGCAATTGCAGATTTCCTTTAAATTAATAGATTCATAATTAATATATTCTCTTTTTAGATATTTTAGAGAGCACATTTTCAGATACAAAAATCAGATATTTTCTCACATTGCAAGCAAGATTTAATTTGGAAGCCATACACTTAGTGGCTATAAAAGCTCTTTTCTGGCATATTGCTGCAACCTGGTCATTAGCATCGAGGCTATTAAGAAAAATGCATCCTCGTATTGAACTGCTTATTCAAAGGTCAGGTCATTAATTGCCATAATTTCTGGTTCCCGTTTTGTTTGAATATACATGTAAGATACACATTTAATTTTTTGTACAAAAGGTGAAATCCATGTTTTTTCTTGCCCAGCAAATTAAGTTAAAAGAGATGTGTTTTCCAGAGAGACATTAGAGCTCACATCTGTTCCCTAGAGAAATTAATAACATTACCAAATATTTTTTTAGTTTTGTTTTGCTTAAAGTTTAAAATCTGTGCTGTGTTTGAAACTTCATCTATGTATTTTGCATAGATGAGATCTGTGGGGTTGTCTTCTAACAGAAGAGTTCATAGAAGTTACTGAAAAACAATTAAGGCCTCATTCTACAAAATGGCGCAGAATGAAATTTGTATTTTTTTGGTGAATAAATGGCGATATCATATTTAGAAAATATTTTCATTCTCTGTAGGGCAAAACTGACTATGTCTTATTTAAAGATATAATGAAATTGGGTAAAGAATTTGCTTAGTAGCCCTATTAATGGAGGAGTTGCACGAGCAAAGTAAACTTGAAAAATCACAACAAATAGACTATAACATAAAAAACACTGTTTAGTCAATGGGACTTCCAGCCTTTATTTTAAAATTATCTATTTCATACTCCACAAAGGGGAAAAGGATCTTCACACTTTCAGTGACATCATATATCAAAAAGCAAATCACAAGGAAGAAAGTATAACCAAAGGCAAAATATCCATTGAAATCAGTTAAGTGGAAATTGATGGCATCAATTTTATTCATACTCTTTTGGAGATAGAGAGCAATGACACATGACATGTATCTTCCACTATGGTCACAGTTATGAATTTTTGAGACAGACAGCAAAGACATGGCATCTGGAGGCTATGGCAAGTACAATACAGTACATTTTACTACTGATTGGTGAAGATCATAATAAGCTCCTGCAGGATCACAGCCATATGAATAGTTCCCTTAATCTCCATCCTGTGGAAGATGAATGTCTACAAAAAAAGGCAATAGACATATTATAGCATAGGCTTTGGCTATGCTTTCCAGGATAACTCTATGAAGCCTTCTGAGTCCTGAAACCCTTTGAGGGGAAAAAACTCCCTGATACCTTTATTCACAGAAGGTTTTTTATATGGCTAAGCTGATTTTCTAGATCTAAATCATACATCTGCATCTTTTTTGATGCAGTTGCCCATTTGACAGTAAGAATTTTCAGATTCCAGATGACTCACTTCTGAAATGTAGGAAACACTTGAAAAAAATCACTTGGAGATGGCAGAAAGCCATGCAAATATTCAATATATTCAAGGCAAATAAATGGCAGGAACAATTATAAATCTTCATGAATAATGGCTGCAAGCTGAACTGTTTCCATTCACTGACCAGTTCTATTTGCTAATCCTTAGAAAGCAGTGGGACTGAACAAATGTCACCTGAGTTGCATTTGCAGAAATTTTCTTTTCAGATGTTGGCTCTACTACTTATAGTGATCTATGCCAAATGTTACTGTTTCGATTCCCTGATGGGTGACAGGTTTTGTTTGTCTGTTTGTTTGTTTGTCTGCTTGGTTTTGTTTTTTGAGGGTGGGGGGAAGAAGGAAAATTAGTAAAAACAGTCCTGTGGTTATTCATCAAATAATGAATATTTGTATGGTGAACATTTATTCCAAAGATAGTAAAGTGAACAAAACTTTGGTCATGTAAACATGTTACAAGAACAAAAATAAAGTTTGAAAATGCAGTTAAGGGATGAGCCAAGTGAATGTTTGCAAGAGCTGATTAGGAAGTATTGAAGTGCTGAAACCTGTGGGCTGAACGGATCTTTTGGATGTTGTAGTTAATCCTGTCTGCCTGCGATGATTTTGACTTAATACATTGTTTCCTTTGGCAGTTAATTCCACATTCAGCTATACTTACTGCTAGGAAACTTATTTGAAATCTCTTTTACTTGGTTTCATGCTCTTGGCACTAACTAACTATCCATGCACACTTAAAGGAGAACCCTGTACAGTCTGAGTAATATCTACTGCATCCAAATGTCAAAGTGACTATTCAATGCAGATAAGAAAGCCCCTATTACACTTCCCTTTTGTCGAACCTTACCAAGTTTCACTTGACCAGATTCAGTAGCATACCCTGGACGTTTTATTTCACCCATGTATAGTGTAAAAAAAGTATGAGCTAAAGACCTGTAAAATGTCATGTTCGCTATTGAAACACC